AGAAGAATCGGTTGGTAGAAGAAAAAATATGAAGTGATTTCATCTCACAGTTTAAGGGAAGACAAAGAGTGTATGCACCTACGTCATTGCGATCGATTCTGAGCCATGTCACACACAGTCTCCAACCATTGGTTACGATTGTCACATGGACAACAATTAAGTAGTCTGCATCTACCAACATGGCTCAGACTACAAGTTAGTGACTTCAAGCACTGATGCCACGTTTTAGTTTGGCCACCCCTAATTTTCTTCCAACCGTCTCCAAAACTAGTCAGCATTACGCGTCGTAGTAATCGGTGTTCAGGCATACGTAACACGTGGCCCAACCATCTCAGTCGATGAAGATTCACAACCTCATCAACTGATTTACCATCATCATTCCCTACTACCCTGCGTCTAACCTCACTATTACTTGCACGGTGATCTCAGTAGATGAGAGCAATATTTCTAAGACATCTGTGATCAAATACTATGAACTTAGGAGTATCAGTTAAAACTACATAAAAGGTGTGATTTGTTAAGAAATGCTCTTAAATGCCATTAAAAACAAGAGAAAAATAGAATCCAATTGGAATGATGTAACTATTCAAAAAGATTTAATATGCACTGCATTAAACATTTCAGATGGTTGGTAGTCATTATTAAAAAAACAGACATATATTTTGTAATCTTTAGTATTTGATGTCAGCACAGCGTATACACAATCTTCAAAGAATTGATGCTATCTATGATATCCTAAATTTTGAATTCAAGCCACTTTTATTAAATAAGAAAGCAATCGATTAACCTAACAAGTAAGAAACCACAATTTATTATTTAAAAAATTAGTCAGTGATTTATAACCTGGGACTTTGCAACCATGTATATCATTTCAGGCTGCTCCATCATAACACAACAATGAGATGTAATTATGATAAATAGAAACCCAGTGTAGTAAAAATAACTCCACCTGTAGCTCTTCTAGAGTTACTGCCGGTCCCAAGCTCGGGTAAAGGTGGACGGTTGGGCATGGGATTACCGACCCCATCCCGTAGAAAACTAACTCGCTAAAAAAGGCTAACCAAAAAAATAATTCAAACCATTTTAACTCTGCCCTGGGAGTTTGGTCTTCATTTGGAAGAAATATGACGCCTCATGGTGGAAGCCGAGTTCTTCAGAAGCCATGAGGTCGATGCCCCATCTAACAACAAGAGCAACAATTTTTATAGGTACATGGAACGTCCGAACAATGTGGGAGACCGGGAAGACCAGTCAAATAGCAACAGAAATAAGGAGATACAACTTCGCAGAACTGGGAATCAGCAAAACCAATTCGACCCAAGTTGGACAGAAAAGGCTAAATACGGGAGAAATGTTGCTGTACTCCGGCCATGAAGAGGAAAATGCTCCACACACTCAGGGAGTCGCTCTAATGCTGTCCAAATTAGCACGAAATGCACCTATAGGATGAGAATCTCACGGATCTAGAATCATCGAAGCATCATTCAAAACAAAGGAGGGGATCACAATGAATATTATCCAATGTGATGCACCCACCAATGATAGCAACGATGACATTAAGGATCAATTCTATGAGAGGCTGTAATAAATCATAGAGAAGTGTCCAAGAAAGGACCTCACCATTCTGATGAGTGATCTAAATGCCAAAATCGGAAATGAGGATATCATGAGACGACATGAACTGAGAGAGAGAAACGAAAATGAGGGAAGATTTTCAAATCTGTGTGCATTCAATAAATTGGTCATAGGGGGCACAATATTTCCACACAAACGTATACACAAAGCTACATGGATCTCATCGGACCACACTACAGAGAACCAGATAGATCATATTTGCATCAATAAAAAATTCCGAAGGACAATGGAAGATGTGAGAACCAAGAGAGGAGTTGACGTAACTTCAGATTACCACCCAGCTGTGGCCAATTTAAAACTGAAGCTAAAGAAAAACTGGACAACTGGACGAACAATACTATTAAGGTTCAATACAGCCTTCCTTCGAGATACTGACGAACTCAATGAATTCAAGACAGCTCTCAACAACAGGTTCCAAGTTTTACAAGATCTACTGAAGGAAGAAGAAAACACTATGGAGGACAACTGGAAAGGTAACAAAGAAGCATTAACTTCAACGTGTCAGGAGATTCTGGGCCTCAAGAAACACCATCATAAGGAATGGATCTCTTTAGAAACACTGGACAAGATCAAAGAAAGAAAGAACAAGCAGACAGCAATTAACAACAGCCGAACACGAGCAGAGAAAGTCCAAGCACAAGCTGAATACATAGAAGAAAACAAGCAAGTGAAGAAGAGCATTAAAGCCGACAAGCAGAAATACGTAGAAGAACTAACAATGGCGGCGGAAAAAGCTGCAAGAGAAGGTAATATGAAACAGCTTTACGATACAACGAAGAAACTAACAGGGTAATATAGTAAACCAGAGAGACCGATCAAAGACAAAGAAGGCAAGCCAACCACTAAAATTCAACAACAGCGGAACAGATGGGTAGAATACTTCGAAGAACTCCTGAATAGGCCGGCTCCAATGAATCCACCGGACATCGAAGCAGCACACACAGATCTTCCTATAGATATCAACCCACCAACGACGGAAGAAATCAGAATGGCCGTCAGACAAATCAAGAACGGGAAAGCAGCAGGATCCGACAACATACCAGCTGAAGCACTGAAATCAGACGTCGAAGTAACTACAAACATGCTTCACCTTCTATTCAAAAAGATTTGGGAAGAGGAACAAGTGCCGATGGGCTAAAAAGAAGGAAACCTCGTCAAGATTCCAAAGAAAAGAGATCTGAGCAAATGTGAAAACTACAGAGGCATTACCCTATTGTCAATACCAGGGAAAGCCTTAAACAGAGTGTTGCTGAACCGGATGAAGGATGCAGTAGACACCCAACTTTGAGATCAACGAGCCGGATTCCGTAAGGATCGGTCGTGCACGGACCAAATTGTGACACTACGGATCATCGTTGAACAATCAGTTGAGTGGAACTCGTCACTATTCATCAACTTCATTGATTATGAAAAGGCATTTCACGGCGTAGATAGGAGAACGTTATGGAAACTTCTCCGAGACTATGGAGTTCCTGAGAAGATTGTCAACACTATCCGGAACTCAAATGACGGACTACAGTGCAAAGTAGTGCATGGAGGACAACTGGTAGACGCATTCCAAGTAAGGACCAGGGTCAGACAAGGCTGTCTACTCACTCCCCTCTTTCTTCTGGTGGTCGACTGGATTATGAAGACCTCGACATCTGAAGGAAAACACGGAATACACAATGGACAGCTCAGAACCAATTAGACGATTTGGACTTCGCAGATGACCTAGCCCTCCTATCAAATACACACGAGCAAATGCAGATAAAGACAGCCAGTGTAGCAGCACTTTCTGCACCAGTAGGCCTCAACATACACAAGGGGAAAACCAAGGTCCTCAAATACAACACGGAGAACAGCAATCCAGTCACTCTTGATGGCGAAACTCTGGAAGACGTAAAATCCTTCACATACCTGGGAAGCATCATCGATGAACAAGGAGGTTCAGATGCAGACGTAAAGGCGAAGATTGGCAAAGCCAGGGCCACATTCCTTCAACTGAAGGACATAGGGAACTCAAAACAACTTTCAACCAATATCAAAGTGAGAATCTTCAATACGAACGTCAAGGCAGTTCTACTGTATGGAGCTGAAACTCGGAGAACTACAACAACCACAATCAAGAAAGTACAAGTATTAATAAATAGCTCTCTAAGCAGGATACTCAACATCCATTGGCCGGATACCATCAGCAACAGCCTTCTGAGGGAGAGAACAAACTAGCTTCCAGCTGAAGAAGAAATTAGGAAAAGACGATGGAAATGAATAGGACATACGTTACGCAAATCATCAAACTGTATCATGAGGCAAGCCCTTACTTGGAATCTTGAAGAGAAGCGGAAAAGAGGAAGGTCAAAGAACACATTACGTCGAGAAACAGTAGCAGACATGAAAAAGATGAATAACAACTGGAAGGGGTTGGATGGAGAATGCTGGTGAGTGGCCTATACTCCTTCACAAAAAGTAACAGGCGTAGGTAAGTAAGTAGTAAAAGTATTAACAATGCAATGATTACCTAACACATAACCGATTGATTAATATGATATATATATATATACCTGTGCGGAGTCATGATGAAAAGCTAATATCAAAAAAATATTTCTTCAATCTATTTCTGGCCCCCTTGTATCAATATTTGTGTGTTTAAATAAATAAATAAAATAAAATAAATGTTCAAACAAATTTGATTGTAACAATAATCCATTTGCTGATGTAAATGATGACTTAATTATGAAAATGGAAAACTACTCATGTACATATATATGTACCTGGTTACTTAGTTACTGAGTTCAACACAAAAATTAGACTGAACACCATACCAAAATGGTTGCAGAAACAAATGGATTTCAATAGTCAAATAAGATCACAGAATAGACAGACATCATCTTCCAATGCGAAACATTTGATTGAAACTAGTCATAAGGTTGACATCAAATCATCATTTCTAGTGTTATACAAAAGATTTCAAGGACGTATACCAAGGTTTATTGAAGCCATGGCTATACGGAAATTGAAACCCCCTTTATGTGTTCAAAAACAATTTATCCTTACACTTAACCTATCCTGGTAATACTGATTTATTAACCAAAGTGGTAATCACATTTGTTTTTATGTACTTTAATATTTTTTTCCCTTTGTTATGGCTTACTCTTAACTTGTCTAGTTGACCTTTTAATTTTTCATATAGAAATGATCTTAACAAGTATATTAGGTGTGATCAGATTGTTCGAAATGTATTACGCAATTCTATCATTACATAAATCTGATAAACTTCATCTTTTCATTGCATTATTGAAAAACTAGACTGTTTCAGTTAGAGAATAAAGACAAAGATATAGAAAAAATGTTAAGCGTGAATAATAATTTATATATTGATTTACCCTTAATGTGACTCTTTTGGCTGGATTCAATACCAATAGTTTACGAAGTAATGCTTCACAATCAGTTGACATATAGAATGGAACACGATATTTGCCACGTAATACACGTTCTTGTAAATCCTAGAATTAATTTGTGTATACATATATGTATAAATGTGTATTATATATGTATGAAAAAGCGGGATGAAAAAAAAGGTTGAATCTTATCAGAAGTTTCAATTATCAATCTCAGATTATATCAGAAAAATCTAGTGAAATAATTATCATGAGAACTAATTCCTATGTGTATGTGCCCGCACGACTAACTTTGAACTAATGCATGTCTAAAACAAAAATAAGATGCTGTATAACTGTCTATCTCTTTCATGGAGGAAGTTCACTATTCAGTTAAATTAAAAAATATTCACCCGATGATCCCTTCATTCTACTATTTAGATGGATCTGGAAAAAAAATCGACCACTTTTCAAGAGATAGTCTATGTGTCGGTAAGTGAACAAGAAGTCATTAGATAACATAAATAGTTTGTTGACGCTAATCTAATTTAAGTAAGTATAAAATGACTACCCCCCCCTCAAATGTCCTGGTACGGCCAAGGATAGGAGAGTTAGCTCTCTCTCTCACGAAATGCTCTCACATGGCCACGTCCAAACAACCACTGTCAGGGAAGTCAGACTCATTACCATCTTGAAAAGAGCAAGAACAAAGATTCTAGCAGAATAGCATGAATTCATTTTATTTCGTAGGTTCTCGTCAGCTGCTTACAACCTATGATATTTGAAAATCATAATTACATAATGGGTTTAAATTGTTAACTGAATATTGTAAATATATACCTAATGTGAGAGAATATTCTACAACATTAATTGTGACAACAGTTCAAAAGTGGGTTAGAAACAATCGATTACATAATGAATAACATTGAAGGAATGTAGTGAGTAGAGTTCAGTTGAAAGATTATTAATTTGAAAGATAGTTGAAAAAATTAAAATAAAGTCAATGATGTAATAAATGCAAAACAAGGGAAAACAAAAGAAAAGAACACGTCGTTCTGTTCGTGTTCCATAGTAAAATGTATGTTAGTATGAGCGTTATTGAAGAGTTTGAGCAGGCGGATTGCATGTTGTTTATTATTGCAGATGAATCTTTGTTCTTGCTCTTTTCAAAATGATAAAGGGAACTATGTGTATGAAATTTCTCATTACCATCTCCCGGTATTACTATTGTTTACGAAATTGAGAAAGAAAAGCGAATGTCCGACGCTTTAAACGAGTTGGTGGGCACAGAGTATCCACCAAGGGCAATTGGAAAATCTTGATTCCAAACCAATGATGCAAATGGGCTCCAGGATCCTAAGAGAACAAATGGCGTATAAACCTATTGTTAGTCACTGGCTACCATGGGACTGCATCTCCTAAAGTGGCTCCACTGCCTTGTGAATCAGTGATTCATTTGCTTCGGTTTGGGTACCCGGGCAATATAACAGCTCTCACACACAAATCAATGATAGCTGCTACTGGCCTCATTGTTATTGTGTGTATTTGGTGCCCCTTGTACATATTATGTTGATTAAAGTAGGCAAGTTTACCGGAAGCGATCCGAAAAGATATATGTATACAGTTAAATAAATAGTTTACGCAAATCCTAAATTTTATAAGTATTTCAAATATTAAAGAGAAAAAAAGCGGAACGAATAAAACTAACTTTTAAATGTTGTGCATCAAATGGTAATGATCCACTGACAAGTGTATATAAAATTACACCTAATGACCATACATCCACTTCTGGACCATCATATTTACGTCCTTGAAATAATTCCGGTGCAGCATATGGTGGACTACCACAAAAAGTATCTAATTTTTTAGATCCATCAAAAAGATTGGAGAAACCAAAATCAGCAAGTTTAATATTAAAATATCCATCGAAGAGAAGATTCTCAGCCTGAAATGCAATCGAAAATTGTATCGATAATTGAAGTGATCTACTTTAGTGATAAAGAGTAGAATATCATTCCACAAAGTAATGTGGAGCTAATCTATGGCTACTACTTCACAACAGAGCTTCCATTGTATCTGCGTCAACGTATGAAATAGCTAAGGGCGAGAATGTGTTTGTCCTATGATTTTTTTTACTGTTTTTCAAGGTAAAAACTTAAGACATGTGGTTAATCCATAACTGCAAAGAATACGGGAAAACTGAAAGTTATTATGAGAAGTACATATTTTCAGTTTTTAGAGAACTTTCAGAATACAATGATATGAATTCACACAATTGAAAAAACTCAAGATGATATCCTAGTAATCAAGTGTAACAACAAGTAACACGGCATTATTGCATGTAAACATCACATGAAAACGTGCTGACAACACATTAAGACATTAAATGACGGTCAATAACACAGCCTTTTCATGACTATTTATATTTATTTCTGCACACTTTGTAACCTCATCTCCGATATTAAAGATTTTATCTCAAAAGACAGTCCAGGTTATTACTATCCCAACATTTGCTATCCACGATATTAAAGTGTACGAGAATGCAAAGTCACTGGAAACTTAGATTCTCTGTAAAAGATATTGCCGCAAACTTATCAAAGCCAATCAAGCAAACTCTGCTTCCAAGTTGAAGCTCGCTAGTTTTGGTTATGTATAATATACAGGAGCAAATAACTAGTCCACTAAGTAGATGTTTAAAAATTTAAATATACATGAAAATTAATGAGTGAAGAGATAATTTACTACTTAGAGTAATCTGATTCTAAATAACTCGAAGTTCCAAATGATCGATTGATTTTGATCAAACAATTACCGAGAACCGGGAAGCATAAATAGCTATTTAGTTCTAGTATAGTACTATTCGGAGTTGAACCTATAAAAATCTACAAAAAATTGAATCTCCAACCTCCAACCCTCCAGACAAGCGCTTAACCACCAGCCACTAAGTCAGCACTTAAGGGTTTACATTTCTAGCTTCAGTTATTTCGCGACACTAAATGATTACATATTACCAGTAGTGATATTTATCTCAAGAGCGACATGACTGAACTCCATTAGTCATAGCTCCTTACTAAAACTTCTGTAATCACATCTCGACATTAGTTATTGATTATATATTTCAAACTTAGTTCTCGTTTAGTCTAGAAAATCAGATGGGACACACTTGAATAATTATACTTGAAAATCCTTTACAAATCGACAAAATGAGAAGAAACAGAGCAACAATCACAAACCTTTAAATCTCTATGTACAATTTTCTTTTGGTGACAATATTCAACTGCTGAAACAATTTGACGAAATGCAGCACGTGCTTCACGTTCTTTCATTCGACCATGGGCTACTAAGTGATCAAATACTTCACCTTTATTATTAATTTTGCATCATAAAAGGGAAAGAAAAAGAATGAAAAGGAAAGAGAAAGGGAAATTAATTATCACTTGAATAAATCATAGTTACAAATATTATTGATTATGAATAAATCATCCAAAAGGAAGGTATACAACAATCTATTTTGAAAAGAAAAGAAAATGTAGTTATTTATCTTATATTTGCTTAATTCTCAAACATAAAATAAACGTTTAATATACTAAGCAGAAAAACAACAACAACAACATCAACATTACTAATGATCAACAAAGTGTAGAAAAACATGAATACTGTAAACAGTAGAATGATATATTAAACAAACTCAGTGATTGTTTTGAAGGTATGATGAGTTAAAGAACTACTGAAAAGATCTACAAGCATTATGCACCATTATATAAATAAGAGGATATTTACTATAAATTTTTATCTGAGGTAATCACTATCTAAATATGCACCCAAATGCCCTGGTACGGTTGAAGATGCAATGAGTCCAGTCTCCCTCTCGAAATACTCTTACATAGCAACACGTATACAACCACTGTCATATTCATATGCCTCCTCGCGGCTATACTGTTGTTTACGAAATTAAGAGGACAAAAAGCGAATGTCCGGCAATTTAACCGGGTTGGTGGACACGAAGAGTCCACCTAGGAGAGTTGGAAAACCCTGATTCTAAACCAATGGTACAAATGGGCTCAAGGATCCTGAGAGAACAAATGGCCTAAGAACCTCTTGTTGGTCACCGGCTACCAAGGGACTGCATTTCCTGACGTTGCTTCACTGCCTTGTAGATTAGACCTTTAAGTCAAAGGCTCCGGGTGTGACCCCCCTAAGAAAACTATCTGCTTCGATTTGGGCACCCAGTCAGTACCATAGCCCATATAAAAACCAAGTGTTTTGTGTGGCGCATATATATTTGGTGCTCCTTTGTACCAATATTGATGTGTTCAAATAAATAAATAATAAACTCACAATTAGGTACGTCATGGATTTAAAAAGTAACAACAACAAAATACATTGTCCAACTATGTCAGGCTTACAGTGTCTTATACAATTCGATCATCATAAGTAACAAATAAATAAATAATAAACATAACTGAACAATCTGTAAGACAAGATACCAATCACATAGTTAAGTAGTTATAATAATTCTACACCTGATACTTATATCTTTAGTCAGTCATAAATAATGTAGAACCTGGCATATATGTGCATCAGTCCGAATTGATACAGCACATTAGCAAACCGAGAAGAAATTATTGAGATAAATAGCAGAGTAGTAGAATTAGTTAAAAAAACAAGTGGTAGTAGAAAAAAATAGGCAGTGACAATAGAATGTGAAAAAATGAATGAACCAGCAGAATATAAAGTATAAAGTTGTTTAAAAGCTCAAGATCTAAGGAAAGATAAAGAGTGAATAAATTTACACCATTGCGAACAATTCTATACTATGTAACATACACAACCATGTTACAATAATCGTTCGGATCTTAATCAGTTAATCTACACTTGCCAACATGATTGGTTCAACAGTTAATGACTTCATGAAGTAGTATCACATTTTACTTTGACCACTCCCAGATCATAAAAAAATCATATGTTAAAGTAAGAAATGTTTAGGCATACATAATACATGCTCCAACTAACCCAATCAATAAAGATTCACAACCACATTAAACTATTCACATCTTTACTCAGTAGTTTGAGTCTAACAGTAACATTGTTAACTTATCTCTTCAGTAGACATATTGTTTAGAACACAAAAACAAAACAAAAAGAGAAGACATCCGTATAAGCAGTAAAACATACACATATGAATAATTGTAAATAAATGCAAAAATATACAACAATAACATTCTCATGAAAACATGAGAGCTTATGTAAATTATTCAATTTAATGTTAGTTTTTATTGCAGATTAGAAATGTAGAAATTCAGATACTAATTGACAAATTGCTTCGAACTAGTATTTGAAACCTTTCAATAAAGAATATAAATCATTTACGATCCAATACAATGTTGAACTCATAGAAACTTTAAAGCAAATATCAAAGAGTACTATATCTTTTATTGATTTATTTATTTAAACACATAAACATTGATACAAGCAGATACCAAATAGATATGCTCCACATAAATCATTCGATTTGTGCGAGAACTAGGATACTGCCCGGTTGACCAAATTGAAACAGGTAGTTTTCTTAGGAGGCCACAACCAGAGCCTTCCGCCTAAAGGTCTGATCCACAAGCAGTGGAGCAACGTAAGGAGATGCAGTCCCATGGAAGCCGGTGACCAACGGTTGGTTCATATGCCATTTGTTCCTTCAGGATATGGGAGACCATGTGCACCATTGGTTTGGAATCAGGGTTTTTCAACTGCCCTAGGTGGACTTTCCGTGTCCACCAACCCGTTTTAAGCGCCAGACATTTGCTTTTCGTGTTGTGAATTTTGTAAAATACACCCCCGCCACGAGAAGGCAGTGAGTAGGACTTCCCTAACAGTGGTTGTATGCAAGTGACCATGTGAAAGCATTTTTCGAGGGAGAGCTGACTCTCTCCACTCTCGGTCGTACAAGGGCATTTGGGGACTCTATTATTTTTAAACCACTAAGTCACTATATTCTATGGTTCTGATTGAACTCCACAAATTATGATTTCAGATGGCAAAAAAAAAACAACTAGAGAATCTATTACAAAGTTGGTCACAGGTGATAGATTACAAATGTCAATTCTTTCTAGTTCTCAATAATTAATTAAAATGGTAACAGTCCAAGATAAAATTAATATGAACACTAGTAACATAGTAACTATGCACGATAATTAGGATAAATGGACAAGTTAAAAACAAAAAAGAATGAATGAAACAAGATGAAGACTGAAGAAAGAAAGAAAGAAAGAAAGAGAGAGAGAGAATTAACCATATTGAACACGATAAAAAAAACATCGATTGTAGAATAGTATATGAATAAATATGTATATGTATATCTAGAATATAAACATTGAATTACAGTGTAAACAGAAATTACATATGCCCTCATATATCACAAGATAGAGACCGAAAGGATTCACAACAAAACTATGTCGATACATACATACATGCATACACACAAATTATTGTACCAGCAACCAACAAAGGTCAAAAGATGAATGAAAATGCAAATAATAATAATAATAATAAGTACGAAATAGCAATAATTATATGATACACAAAGTAACCATAATGGATTGTAACGCCTACGCAGTATTATACTCACAAATAAACATGTGTTGAAACAATAGCACTTTGATGATAATACTTTTTTTTTCTACTTTCAAACTAGAAATACCATTTCAAAGTTAGAATAATAAGTAGCACTAATCATAATACACTGAGATCAATATTCAGCATATACAACTAATAACTGCTTTGAACGAATGCCAAAAAAGTAAACGACGATTATGAAACAATCATAAACGGTAATATGTAGACAGGTGAATAATCAAAGTAAATGGAATTTGGAAATTTTTACTAATTTCATCATATGATGTATTTGACGTTCTACTAGAAGAAAAGATTGGTAATCTGTATAATATGATCAATGGACGAAAAATTAACATGAAATTAATATTAAACAAAACCTGAAGAGTTTAAGTCAACGGTAATCATCAGAAAGGGATTTTTGTGGATATTATATTCATTTTAATAGTTCAAATCATGAGACAATTGAACCTGGACGACCGTTTCGTCCTAGTATGGGACACCTCAGCAGTGAGCATCCACGATCAATGGAAAATACTTAATGTTGTGTGCAACGATGACTTAGTGATAAATACTAAAAATCACGAGTCTCAGTGATTGAACATGAAATTCTTATGAGATGATTACAAAACAAGTATGTAATTGAAGTAATTTGTTCAAAGTGGAAAACGTTAACTGACCAATATACATAATGGTTAAAGCGAAACCTGACTACATTGCTAAGCAAATGTAGCAAGTATTTGCTTCGGTAATAATATTCATCAGTGAAAATATATTGAATGTAATACAGAAACTTTAGACAACATACCACAATTAATAAGCCTAAAATATAAAAGGACAGACGGTACAACACATACTAAATAACCGTCGAACGTTGTTTTCTTATAACATTTGCAGATAATGAATATTAACTGTACCCGTTAAGAATATAATTCATCATTTGTCCAAATCGATTTAAGTAAAGTGATTAAGTAAACAAGCATATTGACGAGATTTCAAGAACCAAATAAAATTATTTCAGTTCATGATGAGCAAGAATTAGATCCAACACCCAATTTTTTATTAATTAGAAAATATGTAACTGTGATTGCCTATAACATTTTTCAGCATTACTTTTAGTTTATTTATTATTTATTTGAAAACATAAATATTGCTACAAATAGGGCATCGAATACATATGGGCCACATAAGTCAATTGATTTGTGTGTCGGCTGTGACACTGTTCGGATACCTAAACGGAAACTGGTGATTTTCTTAGGGAGCCCCACACCCGGAACCTTCAATCTAAACGTTCAATTCAGCCGGTGACCAATAATTGGTTCATACGTCATTTATTCCCTCAGGATCCTGTAGTACATGTGCACCATTGGTTTGGAATCAGGGTTTTCCAATTCCCCTAGATGGATCATCCGTACTCGGATATTCGCTTTTCATGTTGTCAATTTCGTAAACAATATCCCCGTCACGAGAAGGAAGTGAGTGGGACATCCTTGGCAGTGGTTGCATATAACCTTACCATATGATAAAATTTTGAGAGGGAGAGATAACTCTTCTCACCTTTGGTCGTCTCAGGGTATATTGGAGGCGTTACTTTTAGAGTTAATATTCAGTAAAAAACTATATTATTTCAGAACATAGTAAACGATCTTGTCTTTGATTTCAAACAGTTCAGTAGCTTACATCAATAATTTGATTTCACAAGTAACCATTATTTGGTTACATCATATCACAACACATTGTCTATCCATTAATATTACACTTATTGATTTTGACAAAAGATAATTTGTTCATTAGAATTCTATTTTATAAAGCATAAAGATGACGTTTACGGACTCATGTATTGATGAATTAAGTAATTAACTATCTTATATAATATTCAAGATTAATTTTAATAGAAATCATGATAGAAACATTTGGTCACATTTATTCTTCTTTGATAGAATAAAGTTAATTAATTAATTTATTTATTCATTTAAACACATAAATATTGGGAAAACAAGGTACTAAATAGATATGCACAATATAAATCATTTGATATGAGTGTGAGGGCTAGGATACTGCCCGGGTGACCAAACCACAACAGATGATTTTCTTAGGGAGTCACACCTGGAGCCTTCAACCTACATGTCTGATCCACAAGTCAGTGAAACAACGTCAGGAGATGCAGTCGCATGATAGCCAGTGACTAACAATAGGCTGATACTCCATTTGTTCCTTCAGGATCGTGGAGCCTATTTAAACAATTCGTTTGAAATCAGGGTTTTCCAACTCCTCTAAGCGGATCCTCTGTATCCACCAACTCATTTAAAGCGTCAAACATTCATTTCTCATCCTTTCAATTTCGTAAACAACACTCATGGTGCGAGAAGGCAGTGAGTGAGTAGGACTTCCCTATCAGTGATTGTATGCATTTGGCTATGTGAGAGTATTTTTCAACAGACAGTTAATTAACTCTCCTCATCCTCAGTCGTACCAGGGTATTTTTGAAGGCAATAAAATAAAGTATACACATTCAAATGTAATTCATTATATCTTATCATTTATTCATTTTATTACATTCACTCTTAATCAAATTGTAATCATTAATATGAGACTAAGTTATAAATGCTTAATTGATTATAGAAGAATGTAGATAATTAGGGTAATAAAAATGAAAAATAGATAGGACAATCGAATTGGAAAAAATGTTCCACAGTACACATATAGAGGAATATGGAAAGAGGAAATAGTAAACACACATTATGTTGGTTGACAATAATGAGAACTTTTAATGTTACATAAATGTGTGTATACAAGCAAGGGGATAGTTTGTTTTTTCTTTTCTTTTAATGAATACCATTTAAAGGTAAAAACAATAAAAAAGAGTTAACTAAAATAGCATTATCATTATGATCATAATCACCATTATGTCATTTCATGAAAAAATAAACAAACGACGAAATGAACAACACTAAGATGTTAACGATAGAAAATAAGAAAAAGAATGAATCCATAGAAACAAGATATTTACGTATTTGAAAAATGGTAACATAATGATTAGATTTGTGTGAGGGCAGTGATACTCATGGTGCGAGAAGGCAGTGAGTAAGACTTCTCTGGCATAGGTTATATACATGTGGCCATGTGAGAGCATTTCGAGAGGGTGAGCGGACTATCCCCATCCTCGGCTGTACCAAGGCATTTGGGGGCAACACCTTAAGCACGACGGCTACTGACATATCAACCAGTTATACAAACTGAATTAACTAGACAAGGGATATGAATGCTTAATTTGTTGAATGAAAGTCGAAGATTATGACTACCAAACCACTGACTCATAGAAGTATTAATCTATAACTAGTATTGATCCCAGTCAGCTTGGAAATATACAACATCATTGATTCGATTGTATTAAAACAGGAGTGAAATGAAAGAAAACGAAAGGATATAATGAGAAAACACCTACATGAAAGAAAGTCGATGTGATAATAACCATGTAATCAATTAATATTTCCGATGAAAAATCGTATTCACAAGTGTAATACAAACCAATCATCATACACTCAAACCAGATCATCATCCATCAATTTAATCTTAGCTTTGTGCATTTTAACGAGGAAGTGATAGATAGAAAGCAAGAAAACGAGTAGATGGAGGACAGCTTTTAAAATAGATAATCAGACAGATAGAAATAAGCCAAGATGGATTAGTAAAAGTGTGCAGTAATAATAATAATAATCGATTCTTTCTTTACACTGAATCAGGTCAAGGTGAATTATTCATTAAAAAGAAAATTGATTATCAGCAAGGAAAGTAAATATTGATAAATAAGACAAAATACATCAGACCACAGTTTCCAGTGACATACATTCTGTACAGTAGAATAGTTACATTGATTGAATCAAAACACAATTTAGGGAAGATCTCTTAGTAATATATATTAGCCTAAGAAGTCGTGATACACACCATCATATCAACACACAAGAAGTCAACGTAAATGAGAGCTAATAAAATAATTAAAATATTAACCCCATATGAGTGTATATTTCAAAATGAAAAACAATCAGTTAAAGGCAGGGGTGAAAAGTGTTCGCGATCCATCGAACTAACCGATGATGGTGAACAACATGGTAATAAAATACCATTAATTTACGCATACCGTTGAAATATCAGTCGTTAGAAGAAATATAATTCAAATTGTTGATCAAATGATTCTCCCTTTGACAGGAAAATCTATACATTGCCTACATGATAAGTGTCATAAATTCAGTCAGTTACAAAGTAGGACCAGGCTCATATATGCATCGGTCCAAGTCGTCATACCTACCTCCATAGCACAACAACACAACATGAACACCGAATTCATAGAAGCACTTAACTCAATGGTGTAATACATGAAAGAAAGAGTTTATATACGGATATACACAGGATATAATACACAAAGCAAAAATTAGTTCGTAGAAACAAAGATATTATGCGATTTTAAGAGGAAGATGGAGAGTGTATACACCACCTACACCATTCAGACCGTGTCATCAATTAGTTAAATGTGTTTTACAAACTCATTCCAAGATTGTTTCAACTACAAACCCATCAATTTTGATTAGACCTTGAGGAAATCTAAAGCTGTAAATCTATCAGAATATTGTAGGTAGTGAATTAATACGTATGATACTGATAACATAGACAAACATTTCTGGGAATACTGAAAAAAAACCCACCTTATTCACGTATCCAAGATACAGGCATAAGTAATAAAATAATTATGGAACATGGCTTAAATATTAAACAATATCATGGAAAAGGACACAGAGTCCATCTAGGGGTGCTATAAAACCCTGATTCTAAACTAATGGTGAACATCGGCTATAGGATCCTGAATGAACAAATAGCGTGTGATCCAAACGTTGTTCACTGATTACCATGGAACTGCACCTACCGACGTTTCTCTACTACCTTGTGGATCAGACCTTTAGGTCAAGGGTCCCAGTTGTGGCCTCCTAAGAAAACCAACTGTTTCGGTTTGAGCACCCGGACAGTAGTATCCCAGCCCTCACACAAATCGAATCATCTATGTGCAGTATATCTATTCGGTATCTGCTTGTGTTTAAATAATAAGGATTAAACAACAACAATAATAATAATAATGAAAAAGGAATATGGTTGGTATAACAAATGTAGAATCATTAAAGTTAGTATATAATAAAGGTATATCTTGCTATGAAATATGAACTGAACAAACCTCGAAAACAAAAAGACGGACATTCAATAGAAGGATCTAATGTCAGAGCTTAATTATCTAAATGTCATCATCAGTAAAATTTGATAAATTTCATAGAAAATGCCATTTGTTTATAACAAACAATAAGAAATGCAAAAGTAAGACAAAGAACTTACCATTTTCTGCATATTCCATCACTAGATATACATGACGCTCAGATTCGATCACTTCATATAAGCGAACTAGTTGACAATAAGAAGAAGAATAACCAGGAAATATGGTTAGCAACAATAATGTTGATTTCAAAGACAAAAATATGGTAACTCAGTGGATATCAGTTGAACTCATTCACAGGTTTCTTTTCATTATTGTTTTAAAAAATATACGTGAAAGTTAGATACACTTTCAAAGAGAACGTTCAATATTTATGAAGTATAAATACTGTGCATGGAATCACTAAGTCACTCATGTACATCTACACTAATCAACTGATACATAAATAAATATACTAGTAACTCAAATGAATTCCATATTGTGAGTAGTTGTGTTTGAGTTGACAAATCATTGATTCCTACTCCCACCACCACCACAAGCACCAGTATCCCCCTTCACTTATGATTATATATGGACATACATATTCCTTTCAGTCATATGTATGATGATGAAGTAAATTCAACGAAATAAAACTTACAATACAAATACTTTCAAAAACAATCGTATTACAACATCATTCTAAACGGTGCTTATTTGTGAAATGTCAAACGAAACAATCATGTATCCTATAAACAGTCGATGATATTCTATACTTCAATTTATTCAATTAAACAGATAGAAAATTATATTAATTCAAAGTATAACTATTCAAATCAATCATCATTGAAGGAATTTAATTGAGCTTCATTCAATCAAGATAGTCTGTACCTCTCTGTTCAGCACATTCCAATAGGCAATAACTTAATGGAGTAAAGCTATTTTTTTGGTTTACAGCCTCTGTTTTTTCTACCCACAACTTGTGTAAATGATGATTGATTGTGTGTAAAATTTACTCCAGCTACCTCAATCAATGAAGATAAGCAAACACCACTCTATCAAACCACTCGTTATCGTTCCCTAGTATATCATATTAAACCACCGCATTAATCCCGACCAAAGATGCAACCTTGACGCGGTGGTCAAGTTTGCCTGTCGTGATGACCCAACCGAGCTATATTGGCTGGAACATATGTTCCTGTAGGTTCTACCATGCCAGGCAGGTCGATTGGAGAACGGTAAGACTAAAAGCAGCAACTCAAGGTCTGAGGGCGAAGTCGTACTGCTGACTGTAGAGGGGTGTGACAGCAGTAAGGTGTTTCCCTCGGACAACCAGCATGACAGCGATGCTGCCTTCCCACAAGGAGGGGTGGGGTTAGAAAAGGTCGACCCTAAAAATGTCACACCTCACCTTACCTCACGGATTTCCGTCTCCGGCGGTAAGGCCCTTTGAAGAACGGAGCTAACACGTCAAAAACCTTCCACAAAAAGGCCGTGCGCGACCGGCCTCAAGCAGTTGTCCCTTGGGCTCTGCGGTCACGCTCCCAGGTCGTCAAGACCAACACTAATCCAATTTCCTTTTCAGGTTCCTCAAGAAATACCCTTCCACGGTGTGGGCAGCCGGGAAGTGACATCAGCCCTCATACCCGTAACAGCACAAGAGACCAAGGTGGTCACATTCAAATCCTTCCTACACCTCCTAATACCTCTCTTATCTCCCGACTAACCCTCCTCACGTCCTTTTATCACCTCGCACCGCTAGGGCAAACGATTCGAGTACGTGGAACGCCATTCCTGGTCTCCTGAAACCACGCTCTAAACTACACGTAGGAGCTTTTAACGTACGAACACTTTGCCAAATAGGACAGCAGGCTTCCTTAGCTAAAACTTTAGAATCTCGCGCCATCGATGTGTGCTGCGTCTCCGAAACGCGCATACAGGATCCGAGTAGCGTCATTCATTTGACCTCACCATGCCAAAATAAAGAACCGACTCGATTTACGCTTCGTGTATCTGGAAGCCCTGATTCTGCTTCCCGTGGCCTCGCCGGCGTAGGTATAGCATTGAGTCCTAGGGCAGAACTAGCTCTCTTAGAGTGGATCCCAGTAGACAGTCGTTTGTGCGCTGTCCGACTGAACGGAACAGTAAGAATCCGGAAAGATAGGGACACTCGTCGTTGCCTCTTCGTCGTCTCTGCCTATTCTCCCACTGACTGCAGCTCAGATGATGTAAAAGATGAGTTTTACAGAAAGCTTTCGGACCTTCTCCGAAAAGCTAGCGCTCGGATGTAGTAATAGTGGCCGGTGACTTTAATGCTCAAGTAGGTAAACTAAGCGATAGGGAAAGACACCTAGGTGGATCTTATGGTGTCGTGGCTCAAAGAACAGATAATGGCGACCGTCTGTTGCAGCTATGCTCAGATAACCGCCTGTTCCTTGCAAATACTAACTTTAAGCATAAGGAAAAACATCTTTTAACATGGCGACCCCCTAATTCGTCCCAACGTTGGACCCAAATAGATCACATCGCTATCAGCCACCGATGGAGGGGCTCGATAGAAGACTGTCGCTCATTCTGGAGCACATGCCTAGATTCAGATCATGCTCTAGTGCGAGCGCGTATTTGCTTGCGTCTTACTGGACGTAGGAAAGACGCTGCAAGGAAACCTCTTAGGGCCTACTTAATGATAGTCAAGCTAAGAGTATATTTCAGGAACAACTAGGAAAACAGTTAGGCAGCCATGTATGTGATGCCCACCCCGATGCAGCATGGAATGATATCCGAAAAGCTGTGGAAACAGCAGTGATATCTGCTAGTAAGGTAAACCAGAAGGTTAGGGAGCAACACTGGATCTCAGCAGCATCTATCGCACTGATAGATGCTCGGAAACTCATTCCACCTGGCTCTGAACATAATGAAGAGCGGAGTCAGCTTAAGCGCAAGCTGACAAGAAGTCTACGCAATGATCGCGAACAGTGGTGGGTAGCGAAAGCAAGAGAGATGGAAAAGGCAGCGGCAATAGGTAATAGCAGACAATTGTTCAGACTCGTTAAGGAAACCGGAATTAGGAACCCGACCGTTAGCGAAACAATCTCAGAAAAAGATGGACATATTATTCATTCTCAATCCAGGAGATTGGATCGATGGGCAGAACACTTTAGGGATCAGTTCAACTGGCCTTCAGCCACACTTCGGTTTCCCACGATCTCTAGTCAACCTGAATGGCAAGTTAATGTAGGTCCTCCGTCCCTTTACGAAGTTGAAAAAGCCATAGGAAATCTGAAACGAGGGAGAGCAGCAGGCCCTGACAGGTTTACTCCTGAGATTTTTAAGGATGGTGGTCCAGTATTAGCAGCGAGATTGACCGAGGTCTTAGGTAACCAAAGCTCGTGAAGAACAGACTAGAGAAAATCAGGCTGGTTTTCGACCTGGACGTGGTTGTATAGATCAGATATTCACACTACGTCAGGTTCTAGAACACAGACACACATTCAGACGCCCCACAATGATAGTATTTCTCGACCTTAAGGCGGCATTCGACTCTGTTGATCGCGAGGTTCTAAGACAGTGTTCGACAGTGAAAGGAGCACCAAAGAAGTACATTAACCTTGTAAAGGCTCTCTACTCGAACACAACTGGTCGAGTGAGAGCTTATGGCGAACTGTCATCAGAATTGATTACCTCAAGTGGTGTTCGTCAGGGCTGTCCACTCTCTCCACTCTTGCTTAACTTTGTCGTCGACGTACTTTTAGAGATAAAACTCTCCTCATCTAAATTTACAGGGGTTTAACTTCTACCGGGAGGTTCACTTGTTGACTTAGAATATGCTGATGATATAGTTTTATTTGGTGAAGACGCTGACAAAATCCAGAGTCTTCTGACCACTCTAAGCAACAATGCAAGCATGTTCGGGATGCGATTCTCTCCCTCGAAATGCGAAATGTTGCCTCAGGATTGAGTTGCATCGACACCCGAACTAATGATAGGGAGTGAAGCAATAGCACGAAACGGCCGTCCAATGCTTCCAGGTTTTCAATGGTGGTCTAAAATCAATCGGTTCATGACCTCAACTAAATAAAACAACATATTTGGGGTCCGCGTGTCTATAATAACCAATAGTTCGAGAATGTGGGTGACATGGCTCAGAATCGATCACAATAGTGTAGGTGTATACACTCCTTGTCTTCCTTCAAACTATGAAACCAAAATCGCTTCATATCTTTCTTTCTACAAACTAATTCTTTATTCGTGTACTATGTCCTCATACACAATCTTTCTTTTATATATTACCACCACTGAATTAACTACTTCTATGAATCCGCTGTTCATCTTGTTGTGCTAATGAGGTATGGCAATTTGGACTGATGCACATATGTGCCTGGTCCTAAGGTGTAGCTGACTGGCCGACTTAGAATATGCTGATGATATAGTTTTATTTGGTGAAGACGCTGACAAAATCCAGAGTCTTCTGACCACTCTAAGCAACAATGCAAGCATGTTCGGGATGCGATTCTCTCCCTCGAAATGCAAAATGTTGCTTCAGGATTGGGTTACATCGACACCCGAACTAATGATAGGGGGTGAAGTAGTTGAGTGTGTCGACCGCTTCACTTATCTTGGAAGTCTCATCAGCCCTTGTGGTCTGGTGTGTGACGAAATCTCAGCACGGATACTGAAGGCCCGGCTAGCTTTTGCCAACTTGCGTCATTTATGGCGTAGGCGAGATATCCGTCTATCAACCAAAGAACGTCTTTACTGCGCAGAAGTTCGCTCCGTCCTACTTTATGGCAGTGAAACATGGCCGGTAAGTGTAGAGGATATTCATAGGTTACTAGTTTTCGATCATAGGTGTCTTCGAAACATTGCTCGTATATCATGGGACCATCAAGTAAGTAACATAGTTGTTAGGAAACGGGTACTAGGTAAGGATGGCAAATCCATTGATGAAGTAATGAAACTTCATGAGTTGAGATAGCTGGGACATGTGTTATGCATTCCCAACCACCGACTGCCTCGATGTGCGATGTTTTATGGTGTATTATGAGGTTGAAAGAAAGCTAAAGAAGGCCAGATGAAAACATGTCACAAGTCCATGGATTCATTGACAAATGGACTGAGTCATGTTAGTAGGTGTAGACCACCTGGTTGGGGACCGCGAGATGATAGCAACCGATGGTTAGAGAGCCTGAATGACATGGCTCAAAATTGTTTGGAACAGTGCAAGTGCATCCACTCTTTGTGTTCTCCCAAATTCTAATCTTCTGAATTCTTCATGTCCCTTTTTTTCTCTTTCCAAATTTATTTCACTGGATTATACTCCTTGAATAACATCTCCAAACCCTAATCTTCCCGATTACTGCTTATACTTTTACTACCTCTACAACTATGGGATTTGAATCGACAACTGCATCTCTGTGCTAATGTGGTGTGGCAACGCGAACTGATGTACGTACGTACGAAGTTCTACGTTGTTACTGACTGACTGACTGACCGCATTAATCAATTTTTTGTTGCCCACCACCACACACACATACATACATGAGGAATCCTTCGAAGGTATCTACGGTTAAAACCTTCTGGCCTATTTGTGTCTGTTATTTATAAATTTCATTTTTATGACTATAAATTAAAACAGACGGTGCTGATGAACAAATGATATGAACATGTCATCAACACTACGGGTGGTAAAAGTTGCCAAAATTGGGTCATAAAAATCTATACTGTTACAAAGAAAAAGAATGAACAAATGAATTCACAATATAAAAAGTATAGATTAAAAATTAGACTGAAAATTTCACGCAGAAACACAGAAAGTAACTGTAATTGTTAGACCAGTTAGAAACGACATTATATCAGTAGAACAGTGATCCTACATTGCCTTTCTCCTTTCTACCTTTTTTAAACAAATAATAATACATCCACAATCAGACAACACAAGTATACACAATTATAACTATGGTTTTCAACGCCTTATCATCAACTAGACAACTATCATGGAAACGTGAAGAAATAACATATGTTCATTGAAGTGTTCTCATCATCACCTTTTGTCTAGACATGATTATTGTATAGGAATAATTGAGCAGCAAACTCAAATCAAATAATTCCCCTGGCAACTCCATTTTACAATAGCATTTCCATTGATGACTACCACTAATTGAATTAATCAATTCTAAGCAAAATCACTTAAACCGATAATATTAGCAACTTTTGAATGCACTTGATTTTGAGTCAAGCTGTTTGTTATAAGAGGGGTTAATATTAGCTAGTTGTTCAAACAAAAATATGTCGAGTGAGGTTCGAATATGAAATCTATTGATTAAATATTGAATGGTTTAAAAGCAAACCTATACACCTCCACTAATCAGTGACATGTCGTCGTCTTAGCGATGAATTTTCATACGATCGAACCGGAATATTATCAACTCCATGTTAAATCAATTCATTCTAACAACACAATTGAAACTAGAGTTTTCTACAATTTAAGTTTAATGATATACGAATGTTAGATGAAAGTATTTTAGGCAATAAACAGTATGTCCTGATATTAGATTTCTTGGTAATTGGTATTCATTAGTAGGGAGTATCCAAAAACCTGGACAGCTCGAACCGGTGTTAACCTGTATAAATCAATAGTAACGTCTCTCTCTTACTAGCTAATATAAAGTATACAGCCATGTGTCAAGTTACTTAACTTAATGGCTATATAACTTAATCGATAAAATTGGATCAGTAATCAATGATGAGATTATGTACTAATGGTTACAATCACTGAGTGACTGAATGATCATATAGGATTATTGTACAATAATAACCATAAACAAAATTGTATCTTACCGATGTTTGGATGATTTAACATTTTCATAATATTCACTTCTCGGAATAGCTGATATTGAAAGGGAAAAAGCATAAAAAGAAAGTTGAATAATCCAAAAAATAATTATTTTTTGATGATTAAGAAAGTATTATTATTCAATGTAACCTGGTAGATTAAAATACAGATTCCCGTACTCAGTATCTTGTTGGATGACACATTAAATATAAGAGTTAGATATGTTACCTGACTGACTGACTGCCTAAAATACATGAAGCAACAATCGAATCTATGACACTTTCTCCATAGTAAATGAGATTTCAGTCAGTCAGTAACAACGTAGAACTTCGTACGTACGTACATCAGTTCGCGTTGCCACACCACATTAACACAGAGATGCAGTTGTCGATTCAAATCCCATAGTTGTAGAGGTAGTAAAAGTATAAGCAGTAATCGGGAAGATTAGGGTTTGAAGATGTTATTCAAGGAGTATAATCCAGTGAAATAAATTTGGAAAGAGAAAAAAAGGGACATGAAGAATTCAGAAGATTAGAATTTGGGAGAACACAAAGAGTGGATGCACTTGCACTGTTCCAAACAATTTTGAGCCATGTCATTCAGGCTCTCTAACCATCGGTTGCTATCATCTCGCGGTCCCCAACCAGGTGGTCTACACCTATTAACATGACTCAGTCCATTTGTCAATGAATCCATGGACTTGTGACATGTTTTCATCTGGCCTTCTTTAGCTTTCTTCCAACATACTCCTATACCACTGAACATCGCACGTCGAGGCAGTCATCTTTTACATCATCTGAGCTGCAGCCAGTGGGAGAATAGGCAGAGACGACGAAGAGGCAACGACGAGTGTCCCTATCTTTCCGGATTCTTACTGTTCCGTTCAGTCGGACAGCGCATAAACGACTGTCTACTGGGATCCACTCTAAGAGAGGTAGTTCTGCCCTAGAACTCAATGCTATGCCTACGCCGGTGAGGCCACGAGAAGCAGAATCAGGGCTTCCAGATACACGAAGTGTGAATCGAGTTGGTTCTTTCTTTTGACATGGTGATCTCAAATGAATGACGCTACTCGGATCCTGTATGTGCGTTTCGGAGACGCAGAACACATCGATGGCGCGAGATTCTAAATTCCTAGCTAAGGAAGCCTGCTGCCCTATTTGGCAAAGTGTTCGTACGTTAAAAGCTCCTACGTGTAGTTTAGAGCGTGGTTTCAGGAGACCAGGAATAGCGTTCCACGTACTCGAATCGTTTACCCTAGCGGTGCGAGGTGAAAAAAGGACATAGAAGGGTTAATCGGGGAGATAAGAGTGGTATTAAGAGGTGTAGGAAGGATTTGAATGTGACCAACTTGGTCTCGTGTGCTGTTACGGGTATGAGGGCTGGTGTCACTTACCGGCTGCCCACACTGTGGAAGTGTTTCTTGAGGAACCTGAAAAGGAAATCGGATTAGCGTTGGTCTTAACGGCCCGGGAGCGTGACCGCAGAGCCCAAGGGACAATTGCTTGAGGCCGGTTGCGCACGGCCTTTTTGTGGAAGGTTTTTGACGTGTTAGCTCCGTTCTTCAAAGGGCCTTACCACCGGAGACGGAAATCCGTGAGGTAAGGTGAGGTGTGACACTTTTAGGGTCGACCTTTTCTAACCCCACTCCTCCTTGTGGGAAGGCAGCATCACTGTAGATGCTGGTTGTCTGAGGGAAACACTTTAATGCTGTCACACCCCTCTACAGTCAGCAGTACGACTTCACCCTCAGACCTTGAGTTGCTGCTTTTAGTCTTACCGTTCTCCAATCGACCTGCCTGGCATGGTAGAACCTACAGGAACATATGTTCCAGCCAATATAGCTCGGTTGGGTCATCACGACAGGCAAGCTTGACCACCGCGTCAAGGTAGCAGCTACGGTCGGGAAATGAGACCAATGTATTATTAATAGAACTCTGATGAATAAAAGTAGAACTGCAACCCATGATTCATTGGTTACAAAATTGAGTTCACAGTTCTATAATCCATCTGATTTATACAGTTAGCATGTCCATTTGATAGCCTACTGTTACATCGATTAATTATAGCCATACAGATAAGAGATGGTTAAGCACTTATAACATATACCAGCTACCTCACTCAATGAATATAAACTTATTCATTACTTCATTGTTTCAAAAGACTAATCTGTATGAAGTACACTATCTGAGAGTAATACATTCCTAATCAAATCAGCTTGTTTATTGTTTAATTCGTGATTTATATCGCAAACTAGATTGATTTAAACAAGGTTCGATAACCGTACAATGTTTTTAGATTACCAATGGTTTTCAAACTAAAATCAATCAGTAATATATTCAAATTCATCTAAACAAAGAAACAGACTCAATTGTGACTTAATAAATCCATTGGGTCGGAATCAAGATTTTTCAACTCAACTAGGTGGATCCTTCATATCCACTAACCCAGTTCAAATGCCCAATATTCGCTTTCCATGTTGTCAATTTTGTAAACAACAGTAATGCCACAAGAAGGCAATGAGTAGGACTTCTGTGACAGTAATTGTATGCACGTTGCCATGTGAGAGCATTTCGAGAAGAAGAGCTGGCTCACCCTACTCTCAGCCATATCAGAGCATTTTCGAGTTTGAAACTCAACTTAGAAGCGCGCGAGACACATAGGTTCTGAGTTCGAATCTCGCGGGGCAGGATCGTGGATGCGCACTGCAGCTGAGGTGTCCCATACTAGGAAGAAACTGCTGTCTAGTGCTTCCAGGTTTTTCATGGTGATGTAGTTTCAATGGACACTTTAATTAACCATATAAGTAATATGAAACAAATGTCTAACATTTTTTCCGGTAGTAATAATAACAATAATAATACTATTAATACTCCAAATTATACAATGGATAAAGAGAGTATAGTTATTGTTAAACACAAAAAAGAATCAATGAAAAGATATTAAATATAATTGATTTTTATCTCTACCTCTCTCTCTTTATCTCTATATCTGTGTGAATATTCGTGAGTGACAGAAATGTAAGGAGAGAATGAGAGAGAAAAAGGGAGAGAGATAGCAACACGTGTCAAATTGACTTTATCATTATTATCATTATTGTTATTGATTTTTTGACAGACAGCCTATTGTTTTAATTATTTGTGGAATTCTGTAATATACATATTGGCCCATTGGCCTTAGTTGTCATCTCTTAATCATTCACTCTTTCTCCCTCCCTCTCTCCCCACTTACTTTCATGCTTATGTACAAACCATACAACTAAGGAGTAAAACGAATTCGATAAGAAAAGATAATAATAATAATAATAATAATAATAATAATAATAATAAAGGAATATAGACAATTTATTTGGGAGAAAATCAATATATATATACACACAGAGAGAGAGAGAGAAATGATCTATACCATTTATTACTTGATAGTATTTCAGTATGTTCGAGAAAGAAAGTAGTTTCATCATAGCTCTGGCTCATCTATGGTGAAACGCATATTAACGTAATAGACAAAACTAACATTCCACTAAAAATTACAATAGAGATTATAATTACTTCAAGAATTTTAATATATTTCAATAGTTGAAATCATCAGTCGATTGAAACTAGACCACCATGGAATACCTGGAAGCAATCGATGGCCGTTTCGTCCTAGTATGGGACTCCTCAACAGTGCCCTTCCACGGTTCCACCCCTCTCCCGCGAGATTCGAACCCAGGACCTATCAGTCTCGCGCGCGAGCGCCCTCCCTCTCGAAATGCTCTCACACGGCCACGCGTGTACAGCCTCTGCCAGGGAAGTCCTACTCACTGCCTTCTCGTGGCGGGGGTGTTGTTTACGAAAATGAGAGGACGAAAAGCGAATGTTCGGCGCTTTAACCGTATTCCAAACCAATGGTGTACATGGGCTCCAGTATACTGCGGGAACAAATGGCGTATGAACCAATTGTTGGTCACCGGCTACCATAGGACTGCATCTCCTCACGATGCTCTACCGCCTTGTGGATCAGACCTTTAGGTCAAAGGCTCCGGGTGTGGCCCCCTAAGAAAACCACCTGCTTCGGTTTGGGTACCCGGGCAGTATCACAGCCCACACACACAAATATGGTGTGGCGCATATATATTTGGTGCCCTCTTGTACCAATATTTATGTGCTGAAATAAAATAACATAAAATAAGCTTTCAATTAGTAGGTAACAAATTCAAGTTTAACTTGAGTTTGAGCAGTCGGATAAAATTATCATCCTCCTATCTACAGTAACTTAATGCTGAAAAAAAATAAACAAATATGTACTCAGTAAATGAATTGCATGTTAGTGTTATACTAATTAATTAACTTACTTTTTTCAAACTGGCCTGATTAAGCTGAGTTTTATCGATCACTTTCACAGCAACCTGCAATAATATAATGGGGGGAGGTTTTTAGTTTCTTAAAAGAAAAATAAATAAATAACTGGTTAAGCATAAACAATGATTACCATACAAATTTCGGAAGTCTTCAATCTATACAGTAATTTGATAAATAGTTTAAATCAAACTGGTAATGAAATTTGAAATGATAATCAGAAACTACATCTGCATGATGAAGTTGTTTGTCTATGATCAACTACATATACGATGGATTGAAGTGTGTTAACAAGGTAGGATGCTGTTCTACTTTGCATTTCAATGACAATGTCGTTTGCATATAAATCGAATGGAATACTTGAATATCTTATGTGGATTAACACTGACTTATTTTCAACGAGCTATATTCAGGCGAATATCAGTTTTGGAGAAAAACTATTCAAATTAATATACAAATTGAATTAGAAAATTCCTAAGTGATTTTCATAAAACATAATCTGTAAAAATAAATAATGTTCGAATTCTCACTTCACGTCCAGTTGAAACATGTTGTGCTAATTTGACTTTCGCAAAATTACCACGACCAAGTGTACGAATTAACTTATATTTCCCTACATTTGGTTGATCTCTTAGTGATTTTCTGTCAGGATTGTGTTGAAACGAAGAATTATTAGCTTGATCGTTGGTACCAGTACATGAAGTTTTACGCATTAAACGAACTCCTGATGAACTGACAGTACTTGTTGTAGTCACACTAGGCATCTTTGTTACTTTTCTGTGATCTGCTAAAATTAATAATATGAAATGCCTTTTGTTATTAGAGAAAAACAATAGTAATACTATAACTCACTACGATAATCAATATGTCACTTGAACAAGGTGAGTTACCTACGAACTAGAAGGACAAAACAGGGTCGAAACAACTTCCATCAAACTACAAACCTGTTTTCTTCACCAGTGTCGTAGTTAAAAGAATAATCAAAAAGACTATAATGACATCTGTGGAAACCAACAACTTGTTAAACAGCGAACTACATGGTTTCAAGAAAAGATTATCTTGCATAGCAAGCCCCGTTAAAGCGAAATCAATGGACAAAGGCTCTAGATAGTAGAAAATCAGTGGATGTTATCTACGCAGACTTCAGCAAAGCATTTGATAAGGTGCCAAAAATATAAACTACTCTTGAGGCTGGAAAATTCAAGAATTGCCGGACCTCTCCCAAAGTAGACCAACGATTTCTTGGTAGGTCGTAGACAGAAAAAATGAATTTCAAATGCTCCTCCTGGAAACCAGTACTTAGTGGAGTACTGCAATGCTCTGTCCTAGGTCCTTTACTTTTTATGCCGTATGTAAATCAACTCCCAAATATGGTTAAGTCACCTATGCTACCATACGCTGATGTAAAAATCCAGTGAAGTAATAGGGGGAGTATATAAATGTGCACTTCAGCCAGACTTAGATGTTATGACTAGCTGATCTAAAAAGTGGTTGGTGCTTATCAACATGGCTAAATATGTTTACATCCACATTGCGGATACAAATGTAAACATATATAGCACAAGGGAAGTCAGTGCCCATAGTCTGGATCTTCAGATGAAAATGAGCCATGATATTAAGACCACGGTCCACTACCTAGAGGTAGCATCTAAGGCGTTCAAAACCCTATGGGCTTTAAGACGGACGTTTACCAAGTTAGATACGAATATGTTCACTACAGTATATACAACCTTAGTGACATCCAAACTTGAAAACTGAGGTTTGGGTGCAAGCCTCTCTATTAAAAGGTGACTCGGATATCTTGAGAAAAGTACAGACGGTGACTATCGAGTCATCGATTCTTGAAACCTGTTACCAAAAGTGGTGTCTACCTCTCCAACTCACTAATCCAAAAGAAAACCAGACACTCAGAAGCTTACTAGATTAGGACAAACACAGATTGTAGGTTTTCTATCCTCAATACACAAATCTGTATATTACTTTTTCAGTAAGATTCGTTTTATTAAACTATAGATACTAATTACTTTATTTGACATAAATTCCACGCACTAGTCACATGACATCTATACTACTGACATTAGCATAACTAAATCCCGATCGAAGCTGCTACCTTGACGCGGTGATCGGGCTTGCCTATCGTGATGACCCAACCGAGCTATATTGGCTGGAACATATGTTCCTGTAGGTTCTACCATGCCAGGCAGGTCGATTGGCGAACGGTAAGACTAAAAGCAGCAACTCAAGGTCTGAGGGCGAAGTCGTACTGCTGACTGTAGAGAGGTGTGACAGCAGTAAGGTGTTTCCCTCGGACAACCAGCATGACAGCGATGCTGCCTTCCCACAAGGAGGGGTGGGGTTAGAAAAGGTCGACCCTAAAAATGCACACCTCACCTTACCTCACGGATTTCCGTCTCCGGCGGTAAGGCCCCTTGAAGAACGGAGCTAACACGTCAAAAACCTTCCACAAAAAGGCCGTGCGCGACCGGCCTCAAGCAGTTGTCCCTTGGGCTCTGCGGTCACGCTCCCAGGTCGTCAAGACCAACACTAATCCAATTTCCTTTTCAGGTTCCTCAAGAAATACCCTTCCACGGTGTGGGCAGCCGGGAAGTGACATCAGCCCTCATACCCGTAACAGCACAAGAGACCAAGGTGGTCACATTCAAATCCTTCCTACACCTCCTAATACTCCTCTTATCCTCCCGACTAACCCTCCTCACGTCTCTTTATCACCTCGCACCGCTAGGGCAAACGATTCGAGTACGTGGAACGCCATTCCTGGTCTCCTGAAACCACGCTCTAAACTACACGTAGGAGCTTTTAACGTACGAACACTTTGCCAAATAGGACAGCAGGCTTCCTTAGCTAAAACTTTAGAATCTCGCGCCATCGATGTGTGCTGCGTCTCCGAAACGCGCATACAGGATCCAAGTAGCGTCATTCATTTGACCTCACCATGCCAAAATAAAGAACCGACTCGATTTACGCTTCGTGTATCTGGAAGCCCTGATTCTGCTTCCCGTGGCCTCGCCGGCGTAGGTATAGCATTGAGTCCTAGGGCAGAACTAGCTCTCTTAGAGTGGATCCCAGTAGACAGTCGTTTGTGCGCTGTCCGACTGAACGGAACAGTAAGAATCCGGAAAGATAGGGACACTCGTCGTTGCCTCTTCGTCGTCTCTGCCTATTCTCCCACTGACTGCAGCTCAGATGATGTAAAAGATGAGTTTTACAGAAAGCTTTCGGACCTTCTCCGAAAAGCTAGGCGCTCGGATGTAGTAATAGTGGCCGGTGACTTTAATGCTCAAGTAGGTAAACTAAGCGATAAGGAAAGACACCTAGGTGGATCTTATGGTGTCGTGGCTCAAAGAACAGATAATGGCGACCGTCTGTTGCAGCTATGCTCAGATAACCGCCTGTTCCTTGCAAATACTAACTTTAAGCATAAGGAAAAACATCTTTTAACATGGCGACCCCCTAATTCGTCCCAACGTTGGACCCAAATAGATCACATCGCTATCAGCCACCGATGGAGGGGCTCGATAGAAGACTGTCGCTCATTCTGGAGCACATGCCTAGATTCAGATCATGCTCTAGTGCGAGCGCGTATTTGCTTGCGTCTTACTGGACGTAGGAAAGACGCTGCAAGGAAACCTCTTAGGGCCCTACTTAATGATAGTCAAGCTAAGAGTATATTTCAGGAACAACTAGGAAAACAGTTAGGCAGCCATGTATGTGATGCCCACCCCGATGCAGCATGGAATGATATCCGAAAAGCTGTGGAAACAGCAGTGATATCTGCTAGTAAGGTAAACCAGAAGGTTAGGGAGCAACACTGGATCTCAGCAGCATCTATCGCACTGATAGATGCTCGGAAACTCATTCCACCTGGCTCTGAACATAATGAAGAGCGGAGTCAGCTTAAGCGCAAGCTGACAAGAAGTCTACGCAATGATCGCGAACAGTGGTGGGTAGCGAAAGCAAGAGAGATGGAAAAGGCAGCGGCAATAGGTAATAGCAGACAATTGTTCAGACTCGTTAAGGAAACCGGAATTAGGAACCCGACCGTTAGCGAAACAATCTCAGAGAAAGATGGACATATTATTCATTCTCAATCCAGGAGATTGGATCGATGGGCAGAACACTTTAGGGATCAGTTCAACTGGCCTTCAGCCACACTTCGGTTTCCCACGATCTCCAGTCAACCTGAATGGCAAGTTAATGTAGGTCCTCCGTCCCTTTACGAAGTTGAAAAAGCCATAGGAAATCTGAAACGAGGGAGAGCAGCAGGCCCTGACAGGTTTACTCCTGAGATTTTTAAGGATGGTGGTCCAGTATTAGCAATGAGATTAACCGAGGTCTTAGGTAGAATTTGGGAACTGGACGTAATCCCATCTGACTGGTCTCAATCACTGATTGTGCCAGTTTTTAAGAAAGGACAAAAGTCCTCTTGTGACAATCACAGAGGAATCAGTTTGACTAATATAGTGTCTAAAATATTAGCTTCAATAATACTTCGACGCCTAACTAAAGCTCGTGAAGAGCAGACTAGAGAAAACCAGGCTGGTTTTCGACCTGGACGTGGTTGTATAGATCAGATATTCACACTACGTCAGGTTCTAGAACACAGACACACATTCAGACGCCCCACAATGGTAGTATTTCTCGACCTTAAGGCGGCATTCGACTCGATTGATCGTGAGGTTCTATGGCAGTGTTTGTCACTGAAAGGAGTACCAAAGAAGTACATTAACCTTATAAAGGCTCTCTACTCGAACACAACTGGTCGAGTGAGAGCTTATGGCGAACTGTCATCAGAATTGATTACCTCAAGTGGTGTTCGTCAGGGCTGTCCACTCTCCCCATTCTTGTTCAACTTTGTCATTGACGTACTTTTAGAGATAACACTCTCCTCATCTAAATTTACAGGGGTTGAACTTCTACCAGGAGGTTCACTTGTTGACTTAGAATATGCTGATGACATAGTTTTATTTGGTGAAGACGCTGACAAAATGCAGAGTCTTCTGACCACTCTAAGCAACAATGCAAGCATGTTCGGGATGCGATTCTCTCCCTCGAAATGCAAAATGTTGCTTCAGGATTGGGTTACATCGACACCCGAACTAGTGATAGGGAGTGAAGTAGTTGAGTGTGTCGACCGCTTCACTTATCTTGGAAGTCTCATCAGCCCTTGTGGTTTAGTGTGTGACGAAATCTCAGCACGGATACAGAAGGCTCGACTAGCTTTTGCCAACTTGCGTCATTTATGGCGTAGGCGAGATATCCGTCTATCAACCAAAGGACGTGTTTACTGCGCAGCAGTTCGTTCCGTCCTACTTTATGGCAGTGAAACATGGCCGGTAAGAGTAGAGGATATCCGTAGGTTACTAGTATTTGATCATAGGTGTCTTCGAAACATTGCTCGTATATCATGGGACCATCGAGTAAGTAACACAGTTGTTAGGAAACGGGTACTAGGTAAGGATGGCAAATCAATTGATGAAGTAGTGAAACTTCATCAGTTGAGATGGCTGGGACACGTGTTACGTATGCCCAACGACCGACTGCCTCGACGTGCTATGTTCAGTGGTATAGGAGTAGGTTGGAAGAAAGCTAGGGGCGGCCAAACCAAAACATGGCACAAGTCCATGAAGTCACTGACAAGTGAACTGAGTCATGTTGGTAGGTGTAGACTACCTGGTTGGGGACCGCGAGATGATAGCAACCGATGGTTAGAGACCCTGAATGACATGGCTCAAAATCGTTTGCA